AAATTGCTTTTTAAATATTTTGCATTTTGAATCCTTTAGGCAAGGCATGCTCTCCAATTTCCCACAGTCCTCACTACTCCTAAATGTATTATACTCCAGCCAGTCTCTCTTCATTTAGATTATCTATCTGGCCCCAAGGGCATTTGATTTTGTAAACCCTGTAAAGTCTGAAAAAAATGTAGGGGATTTAGCATCAGAAAAGCAATTTCAAACCTAGGCATTTCCTCTTCCTAGCAACATGATACTGGGGATGTCACCAAACCCCAGAGACCTTGGCTTCTGTTGTTCTGAAGACTAAGAGCTACTGAGTGTGGAAGTGATTTGTTAACCACAAGAGCACTGTGTCAATGAGAGTGATTATGATTATGACACAGGAGCCAAGGACTGGAGCTTGGCCACCTGCCCTTGGTTTTGCTGCCTGTTAAAGATCAAGTTAAATTATTCCAGCAGAATTCAGGACATATGAAGCAGAGGGCGGGAAATGTACTCATATTACTGTAACTAAGAATAACTAATTGGCAAGGAGAGTGGTATAGTTAAGTTCTTTGTAAACAAACAAGGAGCTGGGGTCAAATTCCCAACATACAGAATAGGTCTCCACCAGTCACAAAAGTGCTGGGGAGGAGCTAGGTGGGAGGCAATGTCCAAAGTGTTCCAGCACAAAAGTTCCAGAGAGAGTGTACCACCCACCCTCTCTGAGGAATAAAGAAGGAAAGAATTACTATATGCAAAACCACTGCTTTACAGAAGGGGGGAGGGAAGCTACGATTACAAAATCAAGAGAGCCTTGTTTAAGAGGAAATAAAGATGGAAGAAAAGATGGCTAAGAATAACCTTTCAGTATCCAGAGGCCTATGGGATCCAGATGGACACTCCCTCCAGCTGCAGCCTCCTTCAGGCCAGCTCCAGTTTCTCATTAGACTCCTGCTGAGCAGATTTAATTTTCCATTGAAAAATATTCTTAGCTGTCACCCTTCCTCCACTCCATTAGCCCAGTCTGCTGCAGGCCTGTGTGGCTCCTTCTAAAATTCTGCAAGAGAAGAGCAGAAGTGCCAAATATATTTCAAAAGGCCAAGGGGAGCCTCTTGAAGAAAGCAAATATTCTCTGCCCATGTT